GTAATACATACAGAGTTATAGGTGGAGCTGTAGGGTATCTTGAACAATCTGAAAAATAGAATATATGCAGACATCTATACAATGTATTGCATATAAAAAGTAAGAATAGTTAAACTCACAAGGCTAGAGTCATACCGTCATATGACTCTAAGAGTATGCTCCCTTGGACCATTAGGGGGTTGTCCAAACCCTTCTTTCGTTGGTTACTTGTTACTCCCCCTGATGATCTTTAGTATGTCTTCAATAAAGGTGCCCAGTATACCGAGGATCTTTGAAAACTGGTATTTGTTTATTTAAACAGAAGAAAAATAAAAAATAATAATATAATAACAAAATGGCAATATACTATACCAATAAATATTGGATATAGATAGAGTCCAATAAAAAGTCCAATAAAAGTTAAAAAGTGAGTATCCAAAACGTGTTTCGCCTGATTAACAGGCTTCCTCAGTTGGCTCTAATGTCTCTTCCAATGTTCTTTCTTTTTGAAAATGCCGCCGGCCGGCTTTATCTTCTTTATATATCACTTCCTGGTTCCGTCTGTTGGAACGCAACGTGCGTTCCAACTTCGGCGCTGACTTCCGGGACGCGTCCCAAATGGAACGCACGAGCGCCCCAACCTTGCATACAGGTCGGAACTTCGGCACTGACTTCCGGGACACGTCCCAAATGGAACGCACGTGCGTTCCAACTCCGGCGCTGACTTCCGGGACGCGTCCCAAATGGAACGCACGTGCGTTTCAACCCTGAGTACATGTCGGGTAGTAGCTTGCCGTTCACTTCCGGGTCTCTCTCAATACTTCCGAATCATGTCTAGGTGGAACGCACATGCGTTCCACTCATAGCTTCACATCGGGTGGCCACTTAATGCTGTCCAAAGAGTAAATTTGCGTTCCATCTGTGTTTTTAAGCATATAACATCAGTTATAGTGAAACCAATGAAATCATAATATTGTATAATAAATAATAATATAAAAACTGATTCAATCAAATACTGTAAAAATAAAAGTGATTCTATTAATTGTGGGGGATTTCTATCTCGATCTTAAAGGGACAGGATATCATTTCTAAAAATTAATTTGTTAGGTGAGAATACTCTGTAAAAACAAGACAAGATAAATATATCCAATAATTAAAAGAAACACAAAAATGACATACTAATGTGTAAAAAAAAATTAAAAATAGTGACTAAAAACTTTCCTTCAAATAATATAAAAACAAGATAGGCTAAGACTAATGCATAAAATGACACAGTTCAAAATCATTATTCAATCCGTTTGGGATCATAGTGTCAAAATTAAATATGAACTTCATTTCTTCTTTTCCTATTTTGTTCACATAGTCACCTCCTCTCCAGTCTTTCTTTACTAATTTTAAAGCACAAAAAAAACATTCCTTCTGGGGTTTTGTTGATGAATGTGTTTGAAATGGTTCGAAACACTGTGGGTTTCGACCCCATTTTTAATGTTTCTTATGTGTTCCGCTATTCTTAGATTTAATTTTCGAATTGTGCGACCTACATATAAAAGATTGCAGGGACATTTTAAAATATAAATAACTCCCTTCGAGTGACATGTTAGATGATCCCTAATAGTAAATTTCTTATTAATAACGGGTTCTAAGTCAGTTAAGTGTCTTTTTTTACTCTTAGTATTTTTACATGCTAGACATTGTCCGCATCCGTAAAAACCTTTACTTATTGTAAAAAAGGTTTGTCCTACTGTTTGTTCCTGCTTTGAACTAAAGTATTTCTTAAATTTTTTACGCCTCTAAAAATTATCTTTGGTTTTTCTGGCAAGAATCATTTTAAGGACGTAGATGCCAATAGCTACATTAGAAGAGAGAGTTGCCACTATACTCCTTGGTTAAGTAATGCTCCGAAAGGACAATTCCTACGTATAAGAAGGAATTGTACAAATGAACAAGATTTTTTAGAACAAGCAAACAAAATTAAGGTACAATTTCTGGAAAAAGGATACGATGAGGTTTCCCTCCAATCAGCCATAAATGAGGTTCAAAAAATACAAAGGACAGACCTTCTAAAATACAAACAGAAAAAGAAAGATTTAATTAAGAATCAAGATATCCCCTTCATCTGCAATTATCATGGCAATAGTAGAAAAATGAACAAAATTATAGGAAAACATTGGCACATATTGAAAGATGATCCTATTCTTAAAAACATATTGCCAGAAAAACCAAAAATAATTTTTAGAGGTGTAAAAAATTTAAGAAATACTTTAGTTCAAAGCAGTAACAAAGAACAAACAGTAGGACAAACCTTTTTTTACAATAAGTAAAGGTTTTTACGGATGCGGACAATGTCTAGCATGTAAAAATACTAAGAGTAAAAAAAGACACTTAACTGACTTAGAACCCGTTATTAATAAGAAATTTACTATTAGGGATCATCTAACATGTCACTCGAAGGGAGTTATTTATATTTTAAAATGTCCCTGCAATCTTTTATATGTAGGTCGCACAATTCGAAAATTAAATCTAAGAATAGCGGAACACATAAGAAACATTAAAAATGGGGTCGAAACCCACAGTGTTTCGAACCATTTCAAACACATTCATCAACAAAACCCCAGAAGGAATGTTTTTTTTTTGTGCTTTAAAATTAGTAAAGAAAGACTGGAGAGGAGGTGACTATGTGAACAAAATAGGAAAAGAAGAAATGAAGTTCATATTTAATTTTGACACTATGATCCCAAACGGATTGAATAATGATTTTGAACTGTGTCATTTTATGCATTAGTCTTAGCCTATCTTGTTTTTATATTATTTGAAGGAAAGTTTTTAGTCACTATTTTTAATTTTTTTTACACATTAGTATGTCATTTTTGTGTTTCTTTTAATTATTGGATATTATATTTATCTTGTCTTGTTTTTACAGAGTATTCTCACCTAACAAATAAATTTTTAGAAATGATATCCTGTCCCTTTAAGATCGAGATAGAAATCCCCCACAATTAATAGAATCACTTTTATTTTTACAGTATTTGATTGAATCAGTTTTTATATTATTATTTATTATACAATATTATGATTTCATTGGTTTCACTATAACTGATGTTATATGCTTAAAAACACAGATGGAACGCAAATTTACTCTTTGGACAGCATTAAGTGGCCACCCGATGTGAAGCTATGAGTGGAACGCATGTGCGTTCCACCTGGACATGATTCGGAAGTATTGAGAGAGACCCGGAAGTGAACGGCAAGCTACTACCCGACATGTACTCGGGGTTGAAACGCACGTGGGTTCCATTTGGGACGTGTCCCGGAAGTCAGTGCCGAAGTTCCGACATGTATGCAAGGTTGGGGCGCACGTGCGCTCCATTTGGGACGCGTCCCGGAAGTCAGCGCCGAAGTTGGAACGCACGTTGCGTTCCAACAGACGGAACCAGGAAGTGATATATAAAGAAGATAAAGCCGGCCGGCGGCATTTTCAAAAAGAAAGAACATTGGCAGAGACATTAGAGCCAACTGAGGAAGCCTGTTAATCAGGCGAAACGCGTTTTGGATACTCACTTTTTAACTTTTATTGGACTTTTTATTGGACTCTATCTATATCCAATATTTATTGGTATGGTATATTGCCATTTTGTTATTATATTATTATTTTTTTTTATTTTTCTTCTGTTTAAATAAACAAATACCAGTTTTCAAAGATCCTCGGTATACTGGGCACCTTTATTGAAGACATACTAAAGATCATCAGGGGGAATAACAAGTAACCAACGAAAGAAGGGTTTGGACAACCCCCTAATGGTCCAAGGGAGCATACTCTTAGAGTCATATGACGGTATGACTCTAGCCTTGTGAGTTTAACTATTCTTACTTTTTATATGCAATACATTGTATAGATATACTACGCTATCTGCATATATTCTATTTTTCAGATTGTTCAAGATACCCTACAGCTCCACCTATAACTCTGTATGTATTGTATTATGTTTATAGTGGTGTAAGGGATACCACTTTTTAGGTGTTTTAGAGCTATTTATTTGTCCTTCACAGCGTGTATATTATTGTTTTGTATTCTTGAATGTAATGTGCCTTCGAACCTAATGCTCATTCAAAGTTTTGAAACTTTATTTTAAAAAAAAAAGTACGCATTAGATTAACGTAAATACGGTATATTTATACATGGCCTTGCTATTGTGTAGCCCCAGCAAAATCTGGATATCTCTCCAAGAAAATATAAAGAGAAATATAATGGATGTCTGAATAGCAATTTACCTGCCATGGAAGGGAAAAGATTGGGCAGACCCTGTTTAGCGGAGACTGCTGGAGAAAGCAGTAGAAGAGAGAGCCTTCATGATGATTTAAAAATATGGATCTCTCAAGCTATTGCGGATGAGTTTAAATCCACCACTGAGAAATTTAATTCAGCTAAACGTTCCAGGGGCGAATATCAGGCTTCTAGATATGAAGAAAACTCAGATGTTTTCTTGTGTCTGTCCATGCAGCTATAAAAGAGGTCATTTCCCAAGAGTGGAGTAGACCTGAGAAAGGAAATGAAACCACTGCCTGCAGGGCCAGACTGAAACAAAAAAGATTAATGGCAAAGGAATGGGTGTGGAAAACAAAAAACAAACATTTAAAGGAATCTAAGAGACTGGGAATTCCAGGAACGGAATACAGAAATGAACCCAGCATAAAGAAAACCAGACATAGAATAGAAAAACTAAGCAAGAATTGTAAAAAGAGTACTGGATACCAGAAGCCATCGCCAGAAATGATCCGCAGCAGGACATGACACACATAACATGTAAAAAAAAAGTTATATAACTATATAGCAATGTAAAAGTCCTGAATATGGCCAAAACGCGTTTCACTCTTGTAGAGCTTCTCCAGTCAACTGTGTGTGTGGTCCTTGAATCCTTCATTTTAAATACCTTGTAGTCCTTTCCTTTGGGTCACGTGGGTGGGTATTTGTCCAATGAGATCTCGCTAATTTTCTTATTGGGTACAAATTATTGGTGCCCTTTTTACCTCTTCGTGTCATTGGTGGTCAGTGTTGGTTGGCGGAAATTCGTGACCTACCTACGTCACGTAAAGTGACGTAATGAATGACCGCATGCTTCACTCATCACCAATCGCGCAGCGTTACGGTCCGCATCAACCACTCCCTCCGGCGGGAAGAGGAAATCCAGCTGGCGAGGGCGGCTGGGAGCGGAATTGTATATCATGTACTACGTCCACCCGCTCCCTGGACGTACAGCCTCATCCTGGAGCCTCCCCTGCCTCAATACAGCTCAGGGGAAACCCGTGTTTGCCATTTTGGAGAAGGGAGGAAGTGAGGGCAAGTCCACATAAAAGGAAAGGGGATAGGGAAAAAAAGGGGGGGCGAAACTGGGGGAACAAAACCAAACATACATTGGTTAACATAAATAAATGTATTTATATAAAATGAATGGCATCATTTGTATATATATGTATGTATGTATATATATATATGTGTGTGTGTGTAGGGGTGTGTGTGTGTGTGTGTGTGTGTGTGTGTATATGTATATAAATAAAAACTTAATGTCTTATTTTCCCTTGACTATTGCTAGTGTTTCTAAAAGAATGCAAGAGATAGGGAGTGAATTCATTTTATAAAAAAGGAAAAATTTTATTAAAAGAAATAGTCAAGTGTACAATATTGTATTGCACTTGGGATAAACACTTAGAGGTATAGTGTCCCTGAGGGTGTAAAAGCTACAAGTGTATCAAAAGTGGCTAAAAAACACAACCTAAAATCTATTAAGAATGCTTCTAGTTCAAAGCCTAAAAATGTAAAATTGAGTACTTGCGCAAATGTATCTAACTAAAATGGCAAAATTCGACGTCGATATTCCAAGCCCAGGGTTGTCAAGTCCCAAGATTGAATATCCACTTACACGCCAAAAGTCCCCTGCACGCCAATTCACTCTGACTTTCTGAAGGCCCATAAAGCTGAGGCCTCTAGGCAGTGGTGTACACAAGATCCATGGGGCCCCGGGGCGAAAATTGATCCGTGCCCCCCCCCCCCCACGCACTTACTCTGTGCGGGCCGGTGCCGCTACACATGGCGGGCACCTGGTTGCGGGGCTGCAGATACACTTAAAGGACCACTATAGGCACTCAGGTCACTTCAGCTCAATGAAGTGGTCTGGGTGCCAGGTCCCTCTAGTTTTAACCCTGCAGCTGAAAACATTGCAGTTTCAGAGAAACTGCTATGTTTCACTGAGGGTTAATCCAGCCTCTAGTAGCTGTCTCCCCGACAGCCGCTAGAGGCGATTCCGCTTGACGTCCATAGTAAAACATTGAGTAATGCTTTCCTGTGGGCAGTTTGAATGCGCGCATTCGGAGAGGCAGATCGGGGCGAAAAGATCCCCAGTGCCAAGGGAGCCTGGTGCTGGAAAAAGGTAAGTACTGAAATGGTTTTAACTACACATACACACTAACAGACACAGTGAAAGACACACAGACACTCTCACTAACAAAAACACACTCACTAACACACACTAACAGACACACAAAAATATCCAAATCTTTGATGATCCCCAGGAGCACCATCAAATCTATCATAACCAAATGGAAAGAACATGGCACAACAGCAAACCTGCCAAGAGACGGCCGCCCACCAAAACTCACGGGCCGGGCAAGGAGGGCATTAATCAGAGAGGCAGCAGAGAGACCTAAGGTAACCCTGGAGGAACTGCAGAGTTCCACAGCAGAGACTGGAGTATCTGTACATAGGACGACAATAAGCCGTGCGCTCCATAGAGTTGGGCATTATGGCAGAGTGGCCAGAAGAAAGCCATTACTTTCAGCAAAAAACAAAATGGCACGTTTTGAGTTTGCGAAAAGGCATGTGGGAGACTCCCAAAATGTATGGAGGAAGGTGCTCTGGTCTGATGAGACTAAAATTGAACTTTTCGGCTATCATAGAAAACGCTATCTCTGACGCAAACCCATCACATCACCCAAAGAACACCATCCCCACAGTGAAACGTGGTGGCAGCAGCATCATGCTGTGGGGATGTTTTTCAGCAGCTGGGACTGGGAAACTGGTCAGAGTTGAGGGAAAGATGGATGGTGCTAAATACAGGGATATTTTTTAGCAAAACCTGTACCACTCTGTGCTTGATTTGAGGCTAGGACAGAGATTCACCGTCCAGCAGGACAATGACCCCGAGCACACTGCTAAAGCAACACTTGAGTGGTTTAAGGGGAAACATGTAAATGTATTGGAATGGCCTAGTCAAAGCCCAGGCCTCAATCCAATAGAAAATCTGTGGTCAGATGTAAAGATTGCTGTTCACAAGCGCAAACCAACTTGAAGGAGCAGTTTTGCAAAGATGAATGGGAACAAATCCCAGTTGTAAGATGTGGCAAGCTCATAAAGACCTTTTCTGTTATTTTGTCCTATTTGTTATTTGCTTCACAATAAAAAAAATATATATCTTCAAAGTTGTGGGCATGTTCTGTAAATGCAATGATGCAAATACTCAAACAATCCATGTTCCAGGTTGTGAGGCGACAAAACACGAAAAATGCCAAGAGGGGTGAATACTTTTGCAAGGCACTGTAGATGCTTTTTGAGAGGGCGATTTTTATCGATTTTAAGATATTTGGTGGAAACTCCAGAAGGTGTAACTTGGATTATGGAGAAAGAATAGCACTAAAGGGTCTAAGAGAAAATGATCAGATATTCATCAAACCCGCAGATAAAGGTGGTAGTTTGGTTATTATGGACACAAGTAGGTATCTGGCAGAGTGCACACGGCAATTGGGAGACGCTGAGGTTTACACAAAGCTTATGGGAGGAAAAAAATTAGTCATCTTTTAGATAAAGGTAAAATGACAGGAATCCTGACAGATAAGGAATATGATTTTTTATTTTTTATTATTTTTTTTAAGTGTTAAGTTTCCCAGGACCCCAGTGTTTTATGTTCTCCCAATGATCCACAAGGATTTCCAGAACCCACAGGGGAGACTGATCGACTCTGGTATTGGATCAATCTCACATTTATCTAAATATATTGACTCTTTTCAACAACCTATAGTAGCGAAAACCAGATCCTTTTTGAAGGACTATGGGGATGCCCTGAGGATGTTGGGAGACTTTGCTTGGAAGGAAGAATACTTGTTAGCCACGTGTGATGTGACCTCTCTATACCTGTATTCCACAAGAACAGGGGTGTGCAGCTGTCAGGTACTTCTTGGAACAGGATCAGACAGTTTCTTCTATCCAAATTGAGATTTTAATAGCGTGCATTGAGTGAACTTTGCACAATAATTATTTTTGGTTTGATTCAACTTTTTTTCTTCACAAGAGGGGTACGGCGATGGGCAGCACTTATGCACCCAGCTATACTAATATTTTTGTCGTATTGGGAAAATACCTTTAAATATGGTCAGCATAGCTGGGGTGCACAGGTGCGTGTCTATCGATGTTATATAGATGACATATTCTTCATTTGGGAGAGGCCTGAGACCAGTTTTAAGGACTTTGTGTCTTTCCTTAATAATAATAACTGGGGTATACAGTTAACGAGCAGTATGAGCACTTTAATCATTGAAATCTTGGATCTGATCATTTATGTGGAGGATAACCAGTTAAACACACAGACCCATTTCATGAAAGTAGATGTTAATGGCTATGTTTCATATAGTAGCAGCCATTACTCCCCATGGCCCAACAATATACCTAAGGGACAACTCATGAGGTTGAAGCGTACTGTACTGAAGAGACTGTATTTCGGCATCAAACCCAGGAGTTGTTAGCTAAGTTAAGAGCGCAAGAATACCCTGAGGATATTTTGGAGAAAGAACTAAAGGAAGTGAGTGACATTACACAGTGTGGATTAGTCAATGGAAAAAAGAAAAAGGGAGACTAACAAGAAATTTCTAAAGATGTGCTAGTATTTAATTATAACAACCGACACCGACAAAGAGAACTATTAACAAATATTGGCCAATTCTTAAGGCAGATAGGGATTTTGGAAAAAGTCTACCCTCCAAACCAAAGATGATGTTTAGAGGGGACCCAAGTGTAAAATCAGCCTTGGTCCATAGCCATCTCAAAGGGAAAACAAATTTACAAGTAGGGAACCTGTTAGGCATGTCTAAGGGTTTCTATAGATACAGGACGTGCCTGGGTTGCAAGAAAAATTTAGAAATACATTTTAAATCAGAGAGAACTAAGGAGTTTGAAATTAGGGAACAAATCACCTGCCACAGTAATAATCTGATCTATTTATTGAAGTGTCCCTGCAATTTAAAAGAAGGGAGCATATTTATAACTTCCGTAGAGGGGTGGAAAGTCATAGTGTTGCAGATCATTTAAAAAAAAAAAAAAAAAAGTACATTATCAGGATCCAAGTGGTCTGGAGTTTTTAAGCATGAAGAAAATATTCAGGTAATGGAGAGGAGGAGATTTTATTAGAAAGATCGGAAAGGAGGAGATTAAGTGGATTTTCCACCTAGAGACGTTAGCTCCATCCGTTCTGAATATTGATTTTGATTTAATTTTTTATGAAATATTTAACTTTTTTAATTTTTTTTATTTTGTTGTGCATAGCATTTCCAAACAATTATGTGCTGCGATTTCAGTGGTAACAGGCTTTGATAGTATATGCTTAGAGAGGTAGTTACATGGCCTAGAAGTAAAAAGCACATTTTCCAATAAGGAACAGGACATTTTAACAGTGAGGTTGGTTTAGCATTGTGTGGTGTTTGGCTATGTAGTCTGTGTGATTCGTTGCAGTCTACTATGGGACTAGCTGGACTTGGTAGGGTATGTATGCTGGGCAGGTATGGTGGCTTGACAGCATTACGGTGGCTTGCATCAGCGATGCGTTTGGATGGTCATATGTGTTCAGGCTTCTATGCTTGTATATGCCATGCAAGAGTGTATTAGCCTGTTGCATAGGCATTGTGTTCGTCTCTGGTGTAGCTAGGCCTTGGGTTGTGCTGTCATTGGGGGTGTCTAGCCTTGTTCTGCCTCTGCATTGAGGTTGGTTACCCCTAACCATGGAAGTGGGGGGTGTGAGGGCTGTGTGTTTGTGGGGCCTAAGTGCTCATTCGGGCATCTTCAGTGCTGTCCAGTCCTTGTAATATTCTAGGTCATAGGGTCCTATTGCCGTGTGGTTCACAATAGTAATGCAAGGCTTGTTGTTTCTTAATCTTACCATAGAGGGTTACCCTCTGCTAGGCCGCTGCCTATTCATCCTATTATTATTAG